ATACTGATGGAAATTAGCTGCAAGAAACGTGTGAAATTTCTGTACAGGGCAAGAGCGTAAATACTGAAAAAGAAAGTAATACCGTCAAAGGGTGCTTTATTAAATTCAGTAAATACGACCGTCACCCGAGCGCCCACAGTCCACGATCATAAACGTTGACATTTAACAACATTTGTGGTCATTAATCAACATTTATGGACATTGGTCATCCGCCCTCATATGGACCAATGGCTCTATGTGATTTTCTATCATTGAAATTCTTTGTGTTTGAACTGTTTGATTCTCTGATCTGTGTTGGTGAATTCAATGGTTTGTTAAGTACTCAGAGAAAACTACTGTTGTGATTTAGGGGCAAACAAGAAGAGATTGAATTAAATTGAATTGAATTGAATAGGATTCTCCAAATGACAAGACTTTGCAGCTAATACAAAGAGAAAACAAAAGACCTACTTCCGTTGCCGACCCGAGAAATCCTGAGAGACATGTGTCGCTCAAGGCTTCTCGCTACGCTTTCTTACTCTGACACAACTCTGATATTTAAAAACAATCAATTACAACCTGGATATACAGAGATACGGAACAAAAAAATGTTGCTCATCAATCCGTTGGCCTCGCTGTCTGTACAGAGCAACATAGAATTAGTTCTGCTTTTGGGTCAAAGCGTATCACTCAGTAGATAATATTGTTTTTTTTTATGTCAGATTTGTATATTTCCTACAATATGGTGTCTTTGCCTGACTTATTTATTTCTATTAACCAAAGGCCATAAGCGTGGAATGACAAATAAACTTGCCTTGCTTTGTCTTCATGACTGACATGTTATACACACATCCGTTACATGTTGAGAGAGCCGTCACAAATACGGATCTATATTCTACATGGCTTCAAGAAGACACAAACAGTCGTATTTAGGTCATCACACATTGCCAATATTCTTGTCTATTCTTTTCTAATAAGTGACTCATAGAAGAAGATGACTCCACGCTGTGCTGTCTTTTGAAAAATGTCAGGAATACGTCATCCCTGTGTGCAATAGATCAATTTAACAGCTGTCGGCTCGGACTTTTCCATTCAGCAACAACAGATGAGTCTTTGGTCCATAGGTAGCAGGATACCCATTGTCCATAAATATGTCCATAAAAGTTCTTATAAGTGCCCCATCATCGAGACCCTCCTGCATCTGCAAGGAATGATACGGAAAATTCCAGTGAGATGAAAGTGAGAAATTTAAACTCCACTCAGAAAGGCCCTGGTCCGACCGGGATTCGAACCCAGGACCTTCTTGCTGAGAGGCGAGAGTGCTATCCACTCAGCCACCGTGCCGCTATACATAGGGCTATACAATGTATTCTTGTATAGCCCTTGTATAGCCCTAAATCACAACAGTAGTTACAGCAAAGGAAGGTTTCTCACCCATCTGTACTTCTTAGCAGGTTTTCCCGACGTTTCGTCCTCAATCCAAAGGACTTCTTCAGGGTTGTTTTTGGGATGTCGTCATAGATGCGAGGCAACGCCCTAACTTGGGACAAGGTCAGTGACATGCTAATGAGTTAGGAGGGGTGAGACCTGCACTCCACTTGAGCATCTCAGCAGACAATAGGTCTGTGACATGCTAAGGAGTTAGGGTCGTTAGCCTCAGCAGGGTCGTTAGACCTGCTCCCTTCTACATCAGAATCAGAATCAGAATCATTTTTATTGCCACGTAAGTAACAGGAGGTCACAGACTAGGAAATTGCTTTGGCTCAGTGCAACAGTCAAAAAGAGATAATAAAAATAAGAATAAAAAACACTTCTAAAGAATAAATTTAAATTTAAAATAGAGTTACAGTTACTATTTACAATATACAAGTGCACATGGTGCACACAATGTAAGGTGACAGCAGTACAGTGAAGTAAAGTGATGTATGATGGGCAGTAAAGTGACTTTATAAAGGGCGGGGGGACAGGTTAAGAAGTGTTCAAGAGTCCAACAGCAGAGGGGAAGAAACTGTTCTTGTGGCGGGAGGTTCTAGTCCTGATGGACCGCAGCCTCCTGCCTGAGGGGAGTGGTTGGAATAGTCCATGTGCAGGGTGAGAGGGGTCGGCTGTGATACGACCAGCCCGGCCTCGAGCTCGGGCGACGTACAGGTCCTGCAGCGATGGAAGGCTGCGGCCGATCACTTCCTCTGCAGAGCGCACAATGCGCTGTAGTCTCTGTTTGTCCCTGACTGTGGCTCCAGCGAACCACACGGTGACGGAGGAGGTGAGGATGGACTCGATGATGGCCGTGTAGAACTGCACCAACATCTGTGCAGGCAGCTTGGCTTTCCTGAGCTGCCGCAGGAAGTACATCCTCTGCTGGGCCTTCTTGATGAGGGAGCTGATGGTCGGCTCCCACTTGAGGTCCTGGGTGATGGTGGTGCCCAGGAAACGGAAGGACTCCACAGAGGTGATGGGGGAGTCCATCACGGAGGGTGGGGGTGGGGGGACAGTGCTCTTCCTGAAGTCCACAATCATCATCAAACAGACATTAGATTGTTTATGAGTTAGTATCAGGATTAGGGTGTGGCTAACCACACCCATAGGTTATAAATCTCCAACGCGCGGCCTGAGAATTAATTCCCTGAAGAAGTCCTTTGGATTGAGGACGAAACGTCGGGAAAACTTTCTAAGAAGTACAGATGATGGGTGAGAAACCTTCCTTTGCTTTGACTAATCCCTGTACGACTGAGGGCTTACACAAACTTAACAGTAGTTACAGTATCTCTCCAAGGACTTTACAAAAAACTTTAAATTTGCCAACACAAACCACAGAATTAACAGCTCAAAACAATAAATGCAACAGTAAAAACATACAAAGACCACAAGGGGCCGATGACCAATGTCCATTAATGATGATAAATGATAATAATAATAATCGGTTTTATATAGCGCTTTTCAAGAACTCAAAGACGCTTCACAAATTCATGACACACACGTTTAGACAGACACACAAAACTAAAAATCTAAGAGTGGGAAAGAAGGGTAGAAAGTTTAAACTAAGGGTCAAATGCTTGGAGGAAAAGGTGAGTTTTGAGCTGTTTTTTGAAGGAGTTTAGAGAGTCCGAGTTTCTGAGATGGAGGGGGAGAGAGCTCCAGAGAGTGTCCATCAATGTACAATGGAACAGACATGAATGAATTAAACTGAACATCACTTCATGTTGGTTTTGGTCAAGGAAATAACAGTATTGCATGATAGAAATCTTCATAAAGGTGTTTTTGAATTATGACTCTATAGAGTACACCAATGCATGTTTTTTACACCATATATACTTCTATTTATTTTGCGATTCTGAAAAGCGCCAAAGGAGCATGGGTCAATGACAAGATATGATTGAACAGAAGAAACATTGGAGTAAGAGATGGAGGAAAGTAATTGGGGATGAGTTGGCGAGCTGGTTAAGATCTGGAAACAAAGAACAAAAATGTAAACGATTCCAATGGGAAAGTGTAGGAGCCAAGAGCTGAGCGAACAATGAACAATGAGTGTAGTTTTTACAGACTGACATGGGGTGACTGTGGGCTGCTCTTCTTATACTGGCACAGATGGGTATTGGAACTAAAGGTGAAATTCAGACTGGAAGACTGCAAGAAGATCTCCCATGGTCACTTCCCGCCTGTTCAACAGCATCGTGATTGAAAGAGTGTGGAGAAACCATAGACTGGTGTTTGTCTTAAAGAGCCACTAAACACCTGTGCCCAGCCCTACTCCGCCCACTCGGAGATTTGAAAATGTTCTCTAAAAAGGGCGTTGCCTGGAGGACCAAGGGACAAGAAGAGGGGCTTAGAGTTGGGCGTGGTCTGGGCTGTGATTGACAGCTCATGTGTCAAAAAAAACAGCCAGTTGTCATTGCTACTCAAAGCAATAGTTTACACCAGAAAGTCTCATTCCACCCTTGTTTACACACAAAGATAATTGTAAAGCTACACACCTGAACCAAATTCAAATGTAGTGCCACCTAAAAGGTAGAGAGATCGCCACACAGACGTTTTTTGGCTCAAAAGTGAGATTTTTTTCTAATTTGAACTAAAATGTCAAAAAAAATACCAGGATATGTAGAACTACAATAAACACATTAAGGCAGTTTATGAGTTAAAAAAAGTTGATTTGGTGTTTAGTCGCTCTTTAATGAGGAAGAGGCTGATTAGAGCTAACTCCAGCAGGCGATTTGAGCCAAACTGTGGAGCCAAAATGATTGCCTATTGTGCTGACCCACTTAACAAGCGCCAATCAGGAGTTGCGTCAGTCTCAAAATGAAAATGAATGTAAACAGACGATATATATTAAACCCCAAAATGACTTCCATCAATTATTGACGTTGATACAGCAGGGGTCTCTTTTGGGTCTCTTTTGAGTTTCTCCTTTTTGCAGTCGTAATTAAATGGTGGTGACTAATATAACTATAACTATACAACTATAATACACATGTCAAACATATCATAATACTATATTAGTAATACTATATAGTTTACATTAGTAAACATTTATAGTTAAACAGACTCTATGAAAGTTTTTGATATTTTTGAGACTATGACGATTGTGATAATTGACCTTATTGCATCCGAGGGACCAGCATACTGACAACTCATACAGCCATAATGGTCCAGGATTTTTTTTTAACAAAACAAAAAAAAGGCTGGGAATATGTAATTTTGCATGTAATTAGTCTATTCCATAGGCTGGTTTCACATTGTAAGTTGCATTTCAGAAAGAAAATTTAAAGCAATATAGAAAATATAGATTCAAGAATGTATTTGCCATTTGCAGTAAAACCAAATTGGAAAAACTGATATATACTGTAAATGATGTATAATTTTCTGAGTTTCACCTGCATATGAAACCAACACGATTGTTCTATAGTTTTACTCACTTTGAGATCACCTCCTAAAAGTTGATGGGGTCATTATTGCAGTGAGTTTGCCCTTGTCAGAGCAGAGTGGATGGGAGGCTCCTCACACATATATTCTGTGGAGGTGCAGACATGTCCTCGCCGTCTTCTCTGTCACGGTCTGTAGAGGCGGTAGCTCAAACATTCATCCAAGGTTAGAGATGTCGCTCCCTGTGCTGAGGGAAGCCATGATTCTCAACTGGTGGGCTGTGGATCCATGATGGGGACGTTCAATGAGTACTTTCAAAAGCATACATTTTTTACATAGAACGCAAAAAACTGACTATTTGCTGTTGGTCCCAAACCAGTCTGACCTCTTTTGTTCCAATCTACATGAGAGGAACTGCCTTTTTCAGATTGAGCAGCTGGGGCTTTCAAATGGGCTTTGTAACTTTTGTTTATTACTCGCTACTACACTTTAATTGGTCACTTTCTAATTACTTTCCACAAGGAATGAGCCAATGCATTTCAGAATCAGAAATATTAGTAACATGAAACACAAACTAGGAATTTGCTGTGGCTCATGGTACAAACAGAAAAATAGATATACTGCATAAGAATCTTTATACAATTTCTTGCATAGAAGTATGTTTCCTGGGAGTATGAGTTTCTCTCAATGGGTTATTTTTGAATGTTTTTAAAAAATGTTTTTCCAGACAAACAGTTGATTTCATTTGGATTTACACAGCCGCCATATCATTCTTATGTCTGAAAGGCCTTTCAATAAATAAATGTTCTCAGTTTAGGCAAGACAACTTGTTGTTATTGTATTTTCAGTGCTTGAACGGTTTGACTCTCTGATTTGTGACGCTGTATTGACCACTTTGTAAAGGCCTCCGGGACGACTGCTGTTGTGTTTTAGGTCTTTACAAAAAAAAAGTTGAAATTTACTGATATAGGTTTTTCTTAATCCAGTTCAGATTTCTAAAGTTCGCTGGAACAAAATGTAGTTTAAATTGCGCATCGTCACTACACAATTTGCTCAGCTCAGCTCATCCAGCAGGGGGAGCTGAAAACACTGTATTTTCAGTTTTCCCGATGGAGGGGCTTCTCGCGGCAGCTCTTTTCTTTGTATGGAAAGAACCGATCATGCTTTGTTTTTTATGTACAGTCTATGTTAAATATGTTTTATTCTCTCCATTTAGGGAATCAAAACACGTTTTTTGAGTAAACAGGGGATTAGAACAAGACATTTCTGACAGAAATAACAACTTGTTTGAAGTGACCGGACATAAGCTCTTCGCCCACATCAATGACAGCAGAAAACTTTGATAATGTATTTTGCAAGTGAGTGCTTCAAACACCCCAAACTAGTGTGTCTTTATTACATTGTCTGCTTTGAGGTCTGCAAAGTGGAGATTGCAGCTCGGTGTTTCTGCGCTGTCTGTCTTTGGTAAAGCTGCTGTCACTCGGGGTGGCAGTGACAGACTACGGCAGCCTGAAGAGGACATCCTCAGAGCGAACGGGCCGAGAAACAGAGCGCCGAGCAGTGACCCGTGGGTGACAGCCGAGATGGAGCAGATAAACGGGTACTCCGTAAACACAGCTGCTGAGCTCCGGTCCCCCGTCACTCCGCGCTCACAGGAGGTTCTGCTTGGCACTTATTCGGACTGGACAGCAGCTTGTTTGTCATTGTCTTTGGGCCACGGCCAAGAAACATGGTTCATCTAGATCCTCCTCTCCTCTGTCCTTGTTCCTCTCTCCTAGATCCTCCTCTCCTCTGTCCTAGCTCCTGTCTCCTAGATCCTCCTCTCCTCTGTCCTAGCTCCTTTCTCCTAGATCCTCCTCTCCTCTCTCCCTAGCTCCTCTCTCTTAGATCCTCCTCTCCTCTGTCGTAGCTCCTCTCTCCTAGATCCTTCTCTCCTCTGTCCTAGCTCCTCTCTCCTAGATCCTCCTCTCCTCTGTCCTAGCTCCTCTCTCCTAGATCCTCCTCTCCTCTGTCGTAGCTCCTCTCTCCTAGATCCTCCTCTCCTCTCTCCCTCGCTCCTCTCTCTTAGAGCCTCCTCTCTCCTAGATCCTCCTCTCCTCTGTCCTAGCTCTTCTCTCCTAGATCCTCCTCTCCTCTGTCGTAGCTCCTCTCTCCTAGCTTCTCCTCTCCTCTGTCCCTAGCTCCTCTCTCCTAGATCCTCCTCTCCTCTGTCCCTAGCTCCTCTCTCCTAGATCCTCCTCTCCTCTGTTCTAGATCCTCCTCTCCTCTGTCCCTAGCTCCTCTCTCCTAGATCCTCCTCTCCTCTGTTGCTCCTACGCTTCAAACTCATCATCTTTTCGTTCAGCCATGTCCAAACTAAGGCCTGTGGGCTAAATGCGGCCCTCTGTATCGTTTTATGTAGTCTTTGAGATCGTAAACGCAAGTTCAGTGTCATCTGACCTTAGTTTTATCTGCAAATGGCAATAAATTGATTCTGATTCTGATCCCGCAAACTTCAGCTCTTCCCATAGAGGCATGTTATATAGAATCCAGTTTACTTTGTTACTTTAAGCAGACATTTGTTATTTATTGTGTCACCAAATTCCATATGTCAGTAATGGAGCTGTGATGCAATAAGTAAAGTGAACTTAACTTGTAAATAAAAATGGGCATATCATTTTAAAGTCCAGAGCAGCCAAAATCCAGTCAAAACCTGTCACTGCGATAAAGCTGTATGGAAGCGGCATTGTCCAACCACTTATTATATACAGTTCAAATCATAAGTCATCTTTATCTTTCTTTATCCTGTTATTCATTCCATGTGCAGCTTTCCGTGCAAGGTCGGGTGAATCAATACATTATTTCAGTCACGACCAGAGCACACACACAATAAAACAACACGAAATGTCATCAGTATCATACAAACATGTAGCTCAGGATTAAACGCCCGCAAAACAGTGATGATTGTAGTAGGTGACAGTCGCCGGGATGAAAGACCTCCTGAAGCGCTGCTGCAGAGGAGGCGGGTGCTTTTCTGAGCTCCCAGTTCAGTCAGTCAATCAAGCTTATTTATAGAGCACAATTCATGCAGTTCAACAACCCAAAGTTAGTTCTGTACAGTGACAACGTATTAACAGATTTGTAAAATACAAAGAAAATCAAAAAGCTGTCATATGCACAGCGACTTAAACATTCCCAGACAGTCCAAACATGGGCCACTTTCCTTTTCCAAGTAGATCCCCAAAAGATTTAGTAATTACAGTTGTTCATTCACAGAACTTGTATATGTATTCTAACTTTGTAATAAATGATAAATGATCGCTGTTGCTACTATGGACAGTACTCAAACGAAGGCTCTTTTGACTATTTTCCTCCCAGATTCTTTAGAGGAGTACTCTCTCTGACTATTAACAGATCAGAGAACCAAACTATTTGAATACTGCAGGAAGTACAATGATAACAAACACATTTTCACCATTGGTTCAAAGGGATCGGGATGACCAATGTATGACCAATGTCCATTAAATGTCTCAGATCATAACTGTCCTGAGACTCTCCTGAGCGGGATCTGCTCCCATGGACAGACAGGCTCTAAATCCAGGACTGAGGCTGAATCTAAAGCTCATACATACGAGTTAACCCCAAAGTGCTTTTGAGTGTGTGCAAATACAAGATACAGCAAATACCTCATATCACCATTGATATAATTATGTTATTAAACTACTATTAAAGTAGTTAGATCAACATTGCACGTGTTTCCTTCCTAAAGTTGCCCTTTAACAGAACCCAAGGCCTGTGTTTCCAAGGAAAACCTCTTATCTGACTTTGAGCTATTTCTAATCCAATAATAAGCTCCCCTTCAGCGCGGCCAGTCGTGTGTTTTATCAGTGTGCGGCTGTGGAGCTGTCCGTGGTGCTAAAGCTGCTGCCGGGCAACAAGGCGCTGTCCGGTCCTGAGGTGTGCGCGTGTGAGTCATGTGGAATAAACAGGCTCTGCAAAGAGGGGGTGTGCACATTTCGAGGTTATATTCTTACCGTGCTCTTAAAACAGGGATAATATTGGCAATATTACATACTTCTTCATGCAGGATTTGAACTTGGACTCACCACCTGCAAAAGGATTAGTGACGGACTGGTGCTTTGTGAATCCAAGAAAATGGATGGATGGACGGATAATAATACAACATAATATAAAATGAGTTCTTGATCTGGGATTTCCTTGTTTTCCTTCATGGTGCTTAGAAACTACTGGTTGTTCCGTAGCCCAGTGCTCTCTTGAAAGTTCATTAAAGCAGAGCAGAAGGATCTTGTTCTTGTAATTATGGCTAGGATAAGACAAAAGAGACATTTTTTTTTGCTTGCATTTTCTGCTTACAGTACACGCAAAACAAAATATGAAATATGAAAGAAAACCACTTGACACCTCAAACATGCATTGATCAAATAATAGAATGTCAGATAGTGAGGGCATAGTATGAACAATACACTGGATATCAGGGCCTTTTATTGCACAAAATGTTATAATTTATTCACTCAATTCACTCAACAGACATTGGTGCAAAACTATGAGCCACAGCTGCTCTGGGGGCTGTTCAAAGTATAGAAGAAAAGATTTTTTATAATGTATCAAAGAATATGAAATATATATGGTCAAACAATTATGAAGGGTTAACAAATTGCTTTCCGCCTGTAACTCCCTATATGCTACCACCAGAGGGAGGAGCAAAAAAAAAAACCTCTAAATTTGGAAATTACCGGTTTTGAAAAACATCTATTCACTTGAGAATTGCCTAAAATAGTTTATGAGCAATAGTTTGGTTTTAAATGTGTGATGTCACAGTGGTTCAATGACAACCAACTATTCCAGGACTGAGTTTTTTGACAGAAGTTCCGGATATCAGCATGGATGGATCTAAAATCAACTGCAGGTCTGCTTTGGATGAGTCTGTGTCTGCCTAATATGAATCAGGCTTATGATTAATGATTTTCATTTGCGCAAACAAAGCCACCGATGTCACAGACACTGGCATTTTAATTAGAGAAGGAGAGATGTGCAGATCATCACCGTTCACAACACGCCACAACAATGGAAGCTAATTAAGGTATTCTGCAATGGAAAAGTTCTTTCTAACCCAAAAAAAACATTTGATGTCCAGATAAAACAACTATAACTGAATCTATCAATCCACCTACCCACCCACCCACACCTACTGATCCTTCCATCCATCCATCCATCCATCCATCCACCCACCTACAGTACCTACCTACCTACCATCCATCTAATCATCTTTCTATCTATCTATCCCTCTCTCTGCCTTGGTTTTGAATCCAGGTCTTTTCTGAGTGGAGTTCGCGTGTTCTCCCCGTGCCTGTGTAGGTTCCCTCCAGATGCTCAAGTTTCCTCCAGGTGCTGCAGTTTCTTCCAGATGCTCCAGTTTCCATCTACCACAGAAAGGATGTGGACAAAACACAAAAGATCAGCTTTCCATTCGCTCAATGTGGCATACAACAACTGCTTGAGAAAATTGCTGAGAGGGCTGAGATGGGAATGTGCGAGAACAAGGACATTTGAGGCAGCCTTGAGATGTCTGATGTACGGTTTTATCTGTCGGCTCAATTCAAGTCAGAACGTCAAAATCATCGGCTTAACAAACGTCAAATTCAGTTCCATGCGGTATCAGTCTCAACTGTGGAGACATTGGTAAAGCTGTTTGCTCTGAGGAGTGAGGCGTATTGTTGTGATTACATGTGTTGCTCTGTGTTTTATGTGATGTGTCTGTCTTATCCTCGAACACGAGTTGATGACAATGATGATGTACAATGGATAGACCCCACCAGCTCAACGGCTCAAAAATATCCATTATCACGTGCGCTGACATGCTTGCAAAACCATTCCGGGCCGGTGGGGGTGGACCCGGAATAAGAATAAGCATTGCTAATGTACGTATCTTCTTTTCTCTCGAAAACGTCTCTACAGGATGGTCCAAGAGTTGGCTCTTGGCCCAACGCTACATTCCAGATTCTGCTGAGGGGAGTACATTGTGTTGGACAAGTCTAGTTTAGCTTCTGTGGCCTTCAGAGGACACTCAAAAAAAAATGGGGCTAGTGCCGTCTGACGCATGCGCAAAACTTTTTTTCCCCACATTTTCCTGCCCCCACAGTCATTTTTAAACTTCCCATAGAAGCCAAAAGTGGTGGCACATTAGTTTTAACAGCTGAGAACAGCGTGACTAAGTCTGTTAAAATCTAGAATCTATGGTCCTTACCAAGCTTCATCAATCTGGACTAAAACGACCGCTGCTCCCGAGGCACATTGCAGAATGGGTCAAATGCGGAGGAGAAATTACCTTACAGGGACAAAAAATTATGTATCTCAAGTTGAATATAAACTATGTATGAAACAATTTTGTATGATTGCAAGTTTGAATAAGATAAATCAAAGTGTCAGCGAAAAAGGAATTATGAAGTCCATTTTGCATATTACATCCGCTTTAATATTCATACATGGTCAAACAAAGGCTGGAGGGGAATTAGAATGATGATCTTTCTTATGTAAAGTTCTTACTCAATGGCACCAGCCTATTATGCAGAGGATTGTAAAGCTTAAAGGGCCGCAGTCACCGAGTTCATGTGAAATGTCATGTCCGTATGATGCCTGATCCGTATGTCCAGGCACGTACTGCACTCATGTGAGATCAATATCCGGAGAGCGGCAGTCAGCCTCAGCCAATCAGTGGAGAGCTCTTCGATGTTATGGGGCCACAGCTTTCACTAATGAACATATATGCACTTTGCAACTCTTGCGCAATATTTTACTGTCTGGCAATGCGTAGGGATGAAGTGAGGAAGCAGAATTGAAATATGATGCATTGTTTTCACTCATTTTGGCATTTATAACTGTAGAATACTTACTTACGGTCTACTTTATTGATCCCTGTATGGAAAAGTGTCCTGTGCTTTTGACCCGTCCTTCAATGCTACAAGGGCAACCTGTCATGAGCATCTGTCTCCAGATGTTAATGCTGGGCTTGGTCAGGACCATGTCGATCATCAACTGGTATAAATGACGCAAGAAGAAGAACAAGGATTCGATCTTGTTCTACAGCTTGAGTCTTGTCTGTCGAAGGGGGATTCCTCTCTCATTGTGGGAATGTCTGAAGTTTCTCACTCTTTCCTACTGTATTGGAGTTGTTCCATGTTGTTCCCCAGTCTCTGCGCAGTCTGTTGATGATTTCAAGTCCTAACTTATTTGTTTAGACAGACTTACTTCCTTCCTTCCTTCCTTGTCAAAAGGGTCCATAATATTCCTTGGGACATTAAGGAATATTATGGACATTTATTAACATTTATGGACAGTGGTCGTCCCACTCCCGATGGACCATAGTTTGATATCATTGCATTTCCTGTGTTCGAACTATTTGATTCTTTGATCTGCTGTTGGTGAAATAACAACCTTCTCTGAGACAATTGCAGTTGTGACATATGGCTATTCAAAAATTGAATTAAATACCCATTGTACTATACTAAATAGTAAAAGTATAGCATATAATACTATAAATTTTTGTGGTCGGGGAAAGTAAGTAAGTCATCTTTATTTATATACCACCTTTCACAGACCAGAGTCACAAAGCGGTTTACAATTTGTTTTTGTTTTTTTGGCACTCTCATTCCACACAGAGATGGGAGTGGGGTCACCGAACAGGAGGCGCATCCAGACCTATTGTACATGTTTTTAGTGGTACGGGAACCCGGAGGAAACCTACGCAGACACGGGAAGAACATGCAAACTCCACTCAGAAAGGCCCTGGTCTGACCGGGACTCGAACCCAGGACCTTCTTGCTGAGAGGCAAGAGTGCTATCCACTTAGCCACCGTGCCACCACAAAACTGAGCACTCGAAGGAAACCTGCACAGATACGGGGAGAACATGTAAATTCCATTTAGAAAGGCCGGGACATTCTTGCTGAGCAGCGATAGTGCTCACCACTCTCTATATAAGGATTTGATATAGTTTCTGAAAGAGAAAATGGAATGGTTCCATTCCGCGAGCCTTCTTCGCTAAAGCGTAGGCTCTCTCATGAGTGCTCTTGAACAAGCTGTCCATACTGTGCATACACTACCTCCTTTTCACTTTATGCACCTGCTGTTTTCCTGCAACAAATGTGTTCATACATATTCATAATTCAACAAACGTGATACATAAAACTGAACAACCTGAACACTGCAAGTTTGTAACATAATCATGAGATAGAAGCCATGAATGCCTTAGTCACATGGCTGCCATGACATTTTTGCTTGTACTGTTGGCAGATCTTAATCTTAGTACATTTAGTTTGTCTTAAAACAACAAATGTATTTAATTTTTAGCTCAAGATTATACACTTTACATTTTTTCCACATACTTACTAATTGTAACTGAATGAATGATTATGTTTGACGCATACAATGGCGATGTGTTGTACAATCCTCCAATCCAAAACATGTAACTGTGGAAAACATTCAGCCCTTGAGGAAACACAAGTTAAATAGACCATTTGAAGTGGCAGTTTCTTTGAATATAATATTGCCTTTGGTGCAGATTTTTCTTTTGATTTCTTTGATTTGTGTGTTTTTTATGTTCATGAACAGTAACAGTAATTTCAGTACTTGTACTATTTGTGTATTGATCAAAACTGGCTGTGTTAAATTTTGAACCCAATATGCACATTACCACATAACTGGGCAGCGTCAGAGGTCAAAGACAAACTATACAGGGTTAGTCTAACATGGTGAGGACTAACATGGTTAAACTGTCATCAAAAAGTCCATTTGACATGTCATTTCCCCTTCAAAGCTCCTTCATACAATTTCCTTGCAACACAAGGTATTTTGTATCTCCAACTCCCAAAAGCAGATATCTTTATAAAGTTGATACTTGCTGTTGTTTCTAAGCCCTGGTGGAGTGATCACAGTACTCTCTGATATTCCCCCATGCCAGAAGGCTCGATGAACCACATAACTGCATTCCCAATCTCCCCGGCGGGTTGGGCTGAGGCAGGCAGCTCATCAATCTTTAGTAGCTGTGATCTCACTCTTCCTCCACCCGCAGAGACCCAGGCGTTGCGCTTAAATCACCTCTGCTTTCTCCTGCTGCTGCCCCAGACCTCGGCTCCATCACTCCAGCTCAGCCGGAGATTCCTCTGACGCTGGGCGGACGGCCAACTGGAAGATGGGGAACTGATACTGACTATGTCGCACACGGGCCATTGAGTAAGAGATTAAAAGCGTATAATATGCGTTGGCTTTTCACAGTTATAGTTGTTTTTTCTCTTGTTGTGCGCTGTTGTGGTTGAAAGTTTACTCAGCCAGCCAGAGAATGCAACTTGGGCTCCAGCTAGCTTATGTTAACCCTCCAAGGTCTAGGGTCATTTTGGGGAACCTTCCTCGCCTGGTTTTCTTTGTGTATAATTGCTCATAAAAGAGTCATTTTTTGATGCAGAGTCAAGCAGTATACTTTGTTTTTTTCAATACAACCTGGGGTTTTAAAATATCTATATTTTGGAACTGTCATATCAATTATATAAAAAATTTGGAGTCATGAAGACAAAGAAAAAATCTAAACGGAAAATCAATTTCACAAAAATGTATTGAAAAACACAATGAAATGCTATAAACAACTGTTTACACTGCATAGAAATGTGTTTTATGGTCTTGGGGATAATGGGGAAAAAGTTTGAATCCGTAACTATTATACTTTTTACAAAATTCCTCTATAAAAGCCAAAAACTCCTGATGCCCTTCCTCAAGCAGTTTGTCTATGAGGCTGTGGTTGTTTCTGTATCACAGCTGTAAAATATGTAAAACAAAAGAAACTAAGCCAAACATTAAATAAAACATAAAATGTATATATACAAATACATTATATACACATAATATCATTTTACTGTATTTATTATTGTCTATTCTCAATAATGCGAACTCCTCTGGTTCCTCTGAGCGCTGCTGCCTATGCTGCAACAAGTAAACACAGAGGAGTGAGCCATCCTACTCTCTGACAATCTTTGTCTGAGTCCCCGTGTGTGTAAACAACTTTACATGCGGCTGTGCCTGGCTCACGGGGCACCGCTTGAAGATCCGTTTGGGGGATTGACTTTCATACACACGTAGTTTAGTTGATCATTTGTAAAACATGTGCGCCACCATCGTCGGCGATGGCATCGTCTTTTAAGTAAGTAAGTTAGTAATCTTTATTTATATACCGCCTTTCACAGACCAGAGTCAAGAGCGGTTTACATTTGTTATTTTTTGGGCATTTGTCGTCTCACTCCACACAGAGATGGGAGCAGGGTCGCCGAACAGGAGGTGCATGCCAGAACTATTGTACATATTTTTAGTGGTAGGGGAAACCGGAGTACCCGGAGGAAACCTACGCAGACACGGGGAGAACATGCAAACTCCAATCAGGTCTGACCGGGATTCTGACCGGGATTTGAACCCAGGACCTACTTGCTGAGAGGCGAGAGTGCTATTCACTCAGCCACCATGCCGCCCAAATCAGCTTTTTCTTCTTCCGCAATAAGGCAAATCCACTCCGAGCATATGTGGGGTTTATGCTGAAAACAAGTAGCAAAGAGAAAAAGAGCAAAAACATCATAGATTTCTTTTATTTTTAATGTTATTAAATATTAGGTTCATAAAAAATCTTGAAATTGTGTTAGATTGTGTTTTTGGGTTTCATTAAACTGGCCAGTAGGGGGCAAAGGAGCAGACGTGGGACAACTCAGTTTTGCTCCCATTGAAAACCATGTAAATCGTGTCTGTTTTGGAGTCAAAAGGCTCTCCTCCTGTGCGGTGTACGGTTGTTGTAACAGTCTTAATCGGGAGGGGGACACTCAATTCTAAGGGAGTACTAAAAATATTTCTCAAAAGAGTCTTGATTTCATTTTTGGAAAAAAATAAAATAATAAATTCCTGCGTTTCATTTTCATTCGGGTGGTCTGCAGGGGGCGCTTATCTGGGAAAGCCTTGATCCACCTCCTAGGGAATCCCAGGGAAACTAACAAGCATTCACAAATAAACACGTAACAGAACTGCCTTCATGATCCCAGTCCAGCTGTGAGGACCAGAAACTAAGGACACGTCAGGTGAGGTAATGGAGTCTAAGGGCCCGATCCAGGACTCAGGCTGTAGATCCAGGACTCGAGCTGTAGATCCAGGACTCGAGCTGTAGATCCAGGACTCGAGCTGTAGATCCAGGACTCGAGCTGTAGATCCAGGACTCGGGCTGTAGATCTAGGACTCGGGCTGTTGATCCAGCTTCTATTACATAATGGGTTTTGTTAGCTTTTTGTGCAGTTTACTAACTATGAATTGCACTTGAACAATTTCAAGTCAAGATGTCCAGTAGTTATTGACAATTATGTTGTTTATAAAGTCACAAACCTCTCTATTCAGAAGTTAGATTATAATCATTTGACTGAAAAAGCAGTCTCCTTTCATTCCATATCCCATTCGCATTCGTCCAACACTCAAACCCAGGCATTGACAGGCATCCGTTTGCACATTTGTGATAGATTACAAAACTATAATCCGGTTTCTCTCATCTGGAGAAGCCTAAAATATATAGTCATTCATTTCAGCAGCACGCCCACTGCTATTTCCCATTCGCAAAGCCTGTTGGACAGAAAACTACAATGTGAGTGAAAAACAAACGCACGAGAGCCAAGAAGCCTTCCGCACCTCATATACGGAAGATTTATGAAAGTACAAATTGAAAGCTGCAACAGTGTTTTAACCAATCACATTTTGGACCAACACAACCAGACAGAGCTTCTATCATCCGCTTTTTGTCTCGCCTTTGCTCTCCCAGATCCGACGACTTGTTTTGTTTCTGGCCCAGTGCCTTAAAATATAAATGAGGGTATTGTAGACTTGGTACGTTTTTGGAAGTGCAAAGGTACGACTGCAACTTCTAAAGACACCGAAATCTGAAAGGACGTCCCCAAAGACGGGTTCAAAGAGTTCAAGGCTTTGTATGAAAGCGAAAGATGTGAGAGATGTAAAAATAAATTAATAAATGATCATAAAAAAGGGTTTCCGTCATGACAATGGTAGATAAGCCAAGTGTGGTTTCCATTGTTGTCAATTCAAGTCATTCTAAAGCGAGGCAACTGAGAGATTAGTTATCGTAAAGAATAGTTCCATATGAATTGAAGATGTGAGAGGTTAAACACGGAGACGATCTCGTTTTGTGAAGCACTTGTATGTCTAAACTGTGCTATACAGATAATCTTACCTTGCCTTTATTCGTAGACCACAATAGCGCAGCATAGAGTTGACCCTGCCAAACAAACAGCAGCAGAAAGAGATCTGTTTCAAGGCCTGTCACGATAGCGAACTTTGACGGAAGATTAATTGCTTAAGAAAAACGTTGCCATAAATAATATTTTTGAAACTGCTTTTATACATCTCAAACAATTAGAAATATTGCAGCAAATATTGCAGCAAACTGCTTTTGTACATCTCAAACTAATTAGAAATATTGCAGCAAATCCTCTGCAGCTAAAATTTGAGCGGATTGCATAGAAAAAGGCAGAAATCTGACAAAAATATACCAGATTGAATCCCAAAATGATCACTTCTTCCATCAATTAGCGAGCGATAAATTGATAAAGTAACCAGTTTTCCAGAAAGAGGTTGCGTCTAACCTTTCTCATTTTCATCTTATTTAGTATAAAGTTTAGTATAGAGCAGTGATGGGCAAGCTACTTGATTTGTGTAGTGAGCTACACACAAGCTACCACCCATACAAATGTAGCAAGCTAAGTTACAAAATTCTGTCAAAAGTAGCTTGCTATATAGAAGCTATTTTCAATTAAACAAACTGCAGTTCATGCAATTTTATATTTTCCTGCATTAACATGTTTGCTCATTTCTTATTTTTTGCACAATTCTTGAGTGTTTTATCCATGCCAAATGTGACATGTAAATTTCTCCTGTGTGAGATTAATAAAGCTTATCTTCTTATTTGAGATAAACTGTCAGTCAGATAAAGGTTAAAATGTTGTAGATATTTATTGAACAATAGCCCAAAACACCAAAAACAACAAAGAGTAGGCATCTGAAAACATATTCTTTTCGCTCATCTCGACTAGAGTGACGTACTTTTGGAGGTATGGCCACGGTACAACACTTTGAGAGTCCTTATCATGGTCCTCCTCCACCGCGGCGGCTCCTGGGCTCTCTGCCATGCTTTTGCTTCCCCCAGTAGCGCGCGCGCATGTGTGTGTGTGTGTGTGCGCGTACGTTCGTGTGTGTGTGTCGTTACCAAGCCCTGCGCATGCGCATCAGCATTCTGTCTTTCTATATGTTTGTTTTATGCTGCGGGAAAATGCTGTAATATATGAACATCAGAGATGTCCGTGAGAAAATAGCTTTGGCGGACGCTACCTCGCTACTTGAGCAATAATATAGCTTAGCTACAGAAAAGTTACTAGGTTTTGTAAATAGTGACGCTACTGTCAAGCTACTGAAAAATGTAGTTAAGCTAGTAGCGACGCTACTGCCCATCACTGGTATAGAGATATGTTAATTTATCTTATCCTGTGCTGTGTTCAATTATTTTGTGCTGTGTGCTCCTCATTTCTACCGCTCTGTAATTGGTGAAAAATGCAACACTGAAATTTCCCCACTGTGGGACAAATAAATTATGTAATTTTGGTTAAAATTGAATAAAAAGTCTCCTCCTCACTGGACGAGTTAGCGGAGACGCCGTTGTTTTGTTTGTTCATTCTTGGGAGATGGGGGGTTTGAGGTGCTGCGTCTTTCATTGTCTGATTTGGCGTTCACCATCACAGCCTCACAGCGCCCCCATCAGGCCTGCTGCGTACTGTACAGTAGCAATCCTGCCTGGATTCTGTCAATAATCAGTACAATCCTACACTTCTTTATAAGTGTATGAAAAATAAGAGCACTCACGGCTACCAGAAAAGGTCTGAACCAAAAATACTAAAGTATAATAAATAATAAATAAATAAATACAGGAATATAATAAATAAATACATCATTCTTTTTGGACAAATAAAAACTAAATATTTACATTGATGTATTAAATATTACGAGAAATCAAATAAATATACTCTTTATTTAGGGTTATTTCTCAATATCTACATTTTTTCCTTTTATTTTATTTATCCATTTTATTG